GCGGAAATTACATCGCAGCGCGATTGCAAACATGCACTAGACTCGGACAGACTCGGACGGACTCGGACGGACTCGAGCGGACTTTAATCTGGCAGATGACAATATCAGCTGTGGCAGGTGCAAAAGCCACCGTCGGGCTGAAGGAACGAATAGGACCGGAATAACTCAGTGTTGCTGTAATAGACAATACCATAGCGTCAGGTCAGGTGTGTGGGGAGTGTGTCGCACGAGCAGCTGACATGACACACAGCAGGGCAGCAACCAGACGCACGGACTGCCGGACGGCCGGACTTTGATATGACAATGCCATCCGCAGGTGCGGCGGCAGCGGCGCGGGCGGTGGTGGCGGCGTCATAGGCATACGTGACGGAATGTGGCGGTGCGGCCGGCGGGGGCCGGGGGGCAAGCAGTGAGTCACAACACTTGCGCAGAGAGATTCCATCCGCGAAGCTTCAGCAGGCTGTCACACTGTCTCACGCGCGTCGTCACCACGAGCTCCAGACCTGCCCCGGAGTCTATCTGCGTGGGGGCGGTGCGGGGGCGGCACGAGGGGCGGCGCGGGGGCGGTGCTCCATGGCCAGAGAGGAGAGCTGCACTCCCTTTGTGGCCCCCGTTTGAGCCGCAATTCCCTCTCCCCTCTTCTCACCGTGGCGGTGCAGCCTTCTGTGGCTTGCCTACCACCGCCGCCGCCGACAGCTGCATTCCGGGAATCGGCGAGCAAAAATTTTGCCCTGCGTGGAGCTGTCGTGCACTTGCTTGCCGCTCTGCTGGCTAGAAGAGGAGCAAGGGGCCACGCCACCTCGCGTGTGTGCGTGCTTTTGTGAGAGAGTGTGAGCCGCAAGCGATCGTTCAGGAAGTGCGGCCGTTTTTTTCCTCAGATGCCGCGGCATTCGGCAAATTAACGGGAGCTTGACGCCTGCGAGACTCGGGGTAGGCCACCCCGCAGTACACGCGTGTCCTGCAGGCACGATATTGCCTACCTATCTGGCGCTATGAGAGCTTGCTCAGCATGCTGCTGAACAGGGCAGTCTCGTAACGGCGAGCAATGTTCTTTCTATGGCCGATCCCTTAAAGGGCCAAGGGCCCTACCTCGGGCCCCACCCACCGGACGGGCCGTGGCGGTTTGCCGGGTAGGTGTGCTGCCAGCGCACGTACGTACGTACGGACGCGCACGCCTGCACGTATGCACGCACTGCAGCCGCATTGATGTGCTGACGCCCCTCTGGCAGCCCGACGTCCTGATCGGTAGGCGCCGGATGTGGAGGGTATACTGCAGGGGGCACACACGGCAAAAAAAGATTAGCCATGTTTAA